ATCAATGTTGATATCATTTTGAAATATGTATCATGTAAGATATTATCCTTAGGGCAGTAGAGTGAAGAGATATGAGGATTTATTCTTCTTATATTTATATCAATTCATCATAATTCAAAATAAAAATTTATTTTTTAAATGCATATGTGACTTTGCTTTTGTTTATAGCAGGTTATATTCCAAGGCTAGATTCTCAATGATGACAACTAGACAAACTGGATAAAATATACAAAGACATTTGTTAAAAGCCACCTAAGAGCTCTTTAGAGGATGAAGAGTAACCTTAATATTGAGAAGAAAAATGTTTGGATAGGTGATTGGCTGATTATGAGAACTTTAGTCTTGTGGGCATTTTCTTGTCTAAAAGACATGGCTGAGATACTAAGCCATGTTTCTGACAGCCCTGCTGTATTAAGAGGACGAAAGTTAGATTCTGGGACTAGTAGGAGGATGACTGGTAAATCCCCCACATGTTGGCTTAGACTCCAAAGACCGGCATTCCAGGAATGAGGATAACTGGAATTAAAGCAGCTGTCCCTGGGTTATAGCACAGCTTTGAGTCATCTGAGTGTCTCAGATACTTGAATCTCTAAATTGTTTTAAGAGGATCCAGATTGCCATGGGATAGCAGAAGGATCAGGATAACCTCACAAGGTGAAGAAAATATCTTCCTCCCTAGATTGTATCTACATATATTTATATAGCTTATCAAATTACAGTTTCTCTTATACAAAGTGGTCAGGATAGAAAGAGATAACACAGTTTAAAAGAAAACCAGTAGATGAAACAGACAACAAGATATACACATAAAGGAATGGTATTACCAAGCTGAAATGCTTAACAATTGTTAAACTTGTTTTCAAGTAGGTAAAAATAGAATATTGAAAATTTGAATGTCATATATAATAGAATTAAAAATTTAATATAAATATAGAATTTCAATGTAAAGCTAGAAATTACAATCTTCTATTTGAAGTGACTCAGAAATTCTAGAAACTAAAAATATGATAAATAAAATTAGAATTCTATGAATCATTTTAATATATTTCACATAACTGAGGGAGAATTTATGAACTAGAAGTATACCAGAAGAAATACCTAGATCAAAGATAGAAGACGACAAAAGAGTAAACAAAAGGTTCTCTACATAAACGATGGAAATCAGAAAATAACCAAATGTACCAAAATAAAAAGAGTAAAATGGAAATCAGAAAATAACCAAATGTACCAAAATAAAATAACTGCAAACCTAAAATTTATGCTTAATAAAATATTTTTCAACAATGGAGGTGAGTTCTATTGTTTACTTCATGTTATACACATTATTGAAGATGAATTTGCATATTGGCCTTGAAATTTTAGATACTTGAAGTTGTTGCTGATTTCTCTGTATTTTGAGTTTACCTTCTCATTGTGACTTCTTTTTGTGGGGGTGGGGTGGATTTGCTCCTCTACATGCTTCTGTTATAGTAGTTGTACTTTCATGTTTTATTTCCTAGTCTCTACATTTGTTTCTTTAATTTTATTGTCACTTCTTTGGGAAGTTTTGAACATAAACACTTAATAATTGTATTTCAGGTGCTATCTAAAACAATATCATTTTAAAACCAAAAGTTAATGAGTGAGACTAAGATTAATTTTACAGTCATTTGTCTAGGAAATATTGTAGACAAGCATCCAAAAAAGTTTATATCTTCAAATGTAATATGTTATCCAAAACAATGTTGCTTTAGAACACAAAGATGCCTTAGAACTGCCTGTAGTCCCGGCAGCTAGGAAGGTTGAGGCTGGAGGATCATGAGTTCAAAGCTAGCCTCGCCAATTTAGCAAAGCCCCAAGCAACTCAGAGAGACCCTGTCTCTAAATAAAATGCAAAAATGGGCTGGGGATGTGGTTTAGGGATTAAGTCCAGAGTTCAATCCCCCATTCCAAACAAAAAGAAATTCACTGATGATTAACTGACTTGAGGTCCCAGAAAGAACCAAAAATGGTATTTTTGAACATGGAATTTGAAATAAAGTTTAAACTTTTACTCCCATGTATGTTTTCCTATACCAAGTTATCTCAGAATTATAACTCTTCATAAGCACACTGGTTTCAGCAACAGTATGTACAACTCCTCTAAATTATTTCTGAGTTTAAGAACTATCAACAGATTTTTTAAACCAACTTCTAGTCTTTGCTAGAGTATGAAAGAAACATTTACCAGGGAGTAGGGGACCTGGATTCTTTATTTTTTTTCCCTTCTACATATTATATTGGTCCATGAGAGTTGTACATAATGGGGAGATTTGTTGTTATATATTAGTGCACATACATAGTATAACAACATAATTTGGCCAATATCACTCCCCTGGTCCCCTTCCTCTACTCTACTCTCCCTCTGCTTTATGTGATCCAGCCCCCATCCTTCTTTTCCTTTTTCCTCTCTAGCAGGAGACCTGTATTCTTATTTCAGCTCTACTATCACAGGAGCTGTGTGTCCTGGCTAATATCACCTGCCTTCTCTGAGGCTGTTTATTCTAAAAAGAAACATTCCATGAAATAAATTATTCAAAATGAGTAGAAAGTCTAGGAGAAGTCTGAATTTAATTCATGCTCTTAAAACATATCATTCTACTTCAAATATGCTGAATTATTTTCTGTTCCTAACTTTAACTTCTTAATAGTCACCATCACTGAGCATTTTTTAGTGAATGTTGTTCTAAGAGTAGAAATAATATTTTGTCAATTATAGAAATAAAGAACTAAACAGACATGTAGGTTTGTTCCACATTGGTAGGTTGATGTGGTTTAACGGATGGAGGACCACCATTAATACAGGGAGAGCAAGGTAAGGAGCTCTGCTTTATATTTTTTATCTTGCTCAACCAATTTCTGAATTGGGTCATTTTTTTAAAAGAGTAAAAAATCTTAAAATATTAAATAATCATTAGACCTGAGTAAAACCTGGATCAAGGAGAAGAAATAATAAAAATTCAGCTCCCACACATGTCTTCTCTCTACTCCCCTTCCATATCCAGAAGCCAAACTGGCCAGGTCTTGGCTGCCTCTGGGCATAGAGCGGGTTGAACAGATGTTTGACTCACTACATTTGACTCCTTGTCATTTGGCAGATTGAGGTCTCTGCTGAGAGCACCATTTGGAATGTTTTTTTCCCCAAAACTGGTATTTTTGAACATGGAATTTGAAATAAAGTTTAAACTCGTAGAATAATATTGCCTAAAAGGATTCTGATAGATTTATGTCAGACACCTAACTGTCCCCCAGAAGTGTTTAGGGATAGCCTGGATTGGTCTGGGTAGCCATGATAGAATATGAATGTGGTTTTTCTGAATGTGAGAATGTAACAGATGACATTACCTTCTGATGTCTTAGGAGGAAAGAATATCAGACACAAGTACAGACAGTCCCTGACTTAGGATTTTTCACTTAGGATATTTTTACTTTATGCTGGTGAAAGAATGATATTCATTTAGTAGAATGTAATTTGAATTTTGAATTTGGATCTTTTCCCAGGCTAGTGATATGGGGTTCCACCCTGTCTTGTGATGGGCAGCATCAGGAGCTACAGCTCTCAGTGAGCCGCAGGATCACAGGCGAGAACAATCCATTCTCTACAATCTGCCGTGTTGTCAACACTTTTGGACATTGTGTCTTCACATCTCATTATGTCTACAGAATGTTCATCAGTGTCTCCTGTACCCAAATAACCACTCTGTTCTTCAGTTTCAGTACAGTAGTCAGTGAATTGCATGAGATCACTCAACACATAATTATAAAATGGGCCTCAGGTTAGGTCAATTTGCCCAATGGTTGGCTAATGTTCTGAACATGTTTAGGGTAGGCAAGCTAAGCCATGGTATTCAGATGTCAGATGTGTAAGGTACATTTTTACTTAGATATTTTCAACTTAGAGGTTATCAGGATGGTTAGTTGAGGAGCTGTCAAGCAGGTAGGATGAAAGGAGGTTAACCATACATATTAAAGGGAGTCAGTTCAGGAAAATATAATAAAGAGGCACTAGAGAATTCAAGAATCAGTAAATCCGGGTTTGAGTATTTGAGAAGAGCATAATAATAAATATGGTAGCTATTGCTATCATTATTGCTGAAATAGCAGCAGCAATGACAAAAACATTAAATGCTTATAGCACTAAATAGTTCATGCTTGTAGCACTTGGTGTACATGTCAGCACTGTTTGTATATAATCATCCATTTAATCATAATGGGAATCATATGATAAAAGTGATTGTTTATGTTCCCAATTTATGGAAGATGAAACTGAGGCACAGATAACTTAAAATAACTGGAGGAAGAACACAAAACTAATAACAAGGAAGTCATGGCTTAAATCTGTAGCTTAAAATTAATGAATAAAACTAAAATTTTAGCTGCAGGATGAAAAACACTACAGGGTAGCAGAACACTTTTGATTTAAGCATACAGCCTACTTGCACATAATTGAGAACCTCAGAATCCTGCACATTAATATTCAGGATGGCCCAACCAGAGCAAAGAAACCCCACTGTAGCACTCTGTGGTGATAGCAGAAACGCATCCACGACTCAGGATTTCTTTTATTTGGGCCCTTCATGTAGATTCCATTTCTTCACAAATCTTCCTCTTTTGTCTCCATCTTCAGACCAGAGCATACACAAATGTAAGGCTTTCTTTAAGGTCTCCAGCCTTTCTCTAATCATTATCAATCCCCACCATCAGGAAAGTCTTTATATATAAAATTAATCACTGACTTTCCAGCTTAAACCCATTTCCTATTCTCTGATCTTTATTGGAGATAGGAGACACATGAAGGTAGTTAACATTCTAATCACCTCGGGGTTTTTTTTTCTTTTTTTATTTAATAACTCATTTAAATGTACTTCTGCTAAATCCCATTTAAAATCTCTCTGACATTAATTACTGATATATTCAAGTCTTTCTGACAGGCTTATTTTGCCATATAAAGTGTACTTCAATGGTGAGTATTCTCATCTTACCTCTCCATTTTCTAAAGGGTGTATTTTGGAATAAAATGAGGTGCAGATGACCTCGTCGTCTTTGGCATAGGATGGAGGTCCAGTGCGGGGATAAATATTGTAGAGGGTCAGGCACTCTGTGTCCGTCACAGCGTGGTACTGCCAGGGTTTGTATTCGATGTCATCAAGTGAGCGTTCCAAAATCCAGTTCCCAGGCCGAGGGGAGTTAGCTGCTTTCACAATCACATAAGCAATCTGGAACACCTGGGGAAGAGTGACAGCAGCATGACTTTTCAATTCCAAAGTCTTTTCACCTTTTTTTTTTTTTTTAAAAAAATCTCAAATATGCAGCTGAATGCTATACGAGATTTTATTTTACTTTTATTCTATAACCCTATTATGTTCTTTGAAATGATTTTACTATTGGATGCTCATATTTAATACCTGTTTGCTAAGCAGAGATGTTTCCTTTTGACAGCCATGACTTTCAAAGCAATGGATTAGGACTAGATTTTAGTTGTCTAACAACTCATTGGTATCATTTCACCTAACTTTTAAAGTTCCATTATGACTATTACCAATGAAAGTATTTATGGTCTGCTAATATATTCACCCACAAAAAAATGTGTAAGAAATCCCATGTGTGACAAGTACTAGATAATCGAGGAAACGTGCTTGCTTATGTCACTTAGTGCTTTAAAAAGTACTATTTTGATGGACTAAGATAATACAGAAACAAAAATGAGCTTTGGAGGCACCCTCATGTGTTCAAATTGTAGCCCCATCATTTATGTGAACCTGGGAAGATTTCCAACTCTTGGCTTCCTTTTCTGTTAATTAAAGTCTAGAATAAGCACACCAGGAAGAGACAGTTTGGATTAAATGAGATAATGTATGTAAAGTATCTGGCAAAGAACTTAGCAGAAATACTCAACCAATGTAAATTCCTCTATATTCCCAAATATTAAAAAAATGGAGAAAAAATTTCAGTGACATGCAGACAATTGATTGAAGTTGAAACATATTAAATGAAAGATTTTGAAACCTTCTCTTTATAAGAGGTAAAAATATTAAAAATGGAGAAATAAAGGAAATGGCATTGTTACTATAAATCAACAGTGACAATTGAGAGGAATGTGACAATCCTCTATTTTCAAATTCACATGGAAGATGCAAAATAGATCTGAAAATAAATATTCTGCATGTTTTAGGATAGTATATACATGTGTTTTTACAAATGAAGTCAATAATTCCAAAAGTGTAATATATAAACACTATTGAATGATATTTTATGCAATGTTCAAGATAGAAATATACAATACAAACTACTTTAAAACTGTGTTGAAAATATAAGTTAATAATGAGACATGGAAATTACAATATTAATAAAAAAATACAATACATTCTTGGTTGGCAAATGCTATGAGATGTGGGAAGCTTGACAACTTTAAGCTCTGGGTGATCAGGACCACTAGTGGGGTACAATTAGAAGGACAGGCCCACTACAATGTGGTAAAAGGCCTGCTGTGCCACAGAGGGAATCTTAAAAGAATGTTCTAGAAATAAACTCTATCTACTTTATTGTTTTGACAGGAGGCCTTCATAAATTCATATATAATATCTATGGTATACATGAAGAAGTTGAATTTAAAAATATGAAAAGTTGATACAGAAAGGTAAGTTCAGGTGACTCAGATACCAGTGCTTGAGAACTTTACTAGATATGAGCATACTTTGTACAAGTGAGGGGAAAATCATAAGCCTCAAGTGATGGCAGTTGGATCTGGTATTCAACTTTTAGGCTCAGTTAGGATAACCCTGGATGGCTAAAACACTGATATGTTTTTGTGTTTGTTGGTAAATCACTGCTGTACAATCAACCTCCTACACACCACCCCTTCCCTGAGACTAGTTGATTATTCCCAGCAGAGCAAGGAACAGTCAAAACATCCATTGTCATTGGTGTGGAAATTGACCATTACTGACTATCCCTATATGCAGTGAATACTGGTGTGTTTATATTACAAAGGTACACATGTTAATATAATTGCAGATATATAACATAATAAACATGCCTATAAGTACTTGAAAATGCTTAAACATTTATGGCAAGGCTACACATAAGCATACTAAAGCTGGCATCTCTGGAGATTCAGAAAGAGGAGTCAAGGAAAGGAAATAGAACAATTTTTAAATTTTATCCCAATATCCTGCTACTTTATTTTTATTGACACAAATGTCTTTTAATAAAAGTAATTTAAAATAAAGAAAACTTCCAATACAAATTATCAGAGAAAGGACAAAATTAGGAATAAGATGAAACATACTCTCTCACCTATTAACCAATTATTTACAGCTTTTGAATTTTTGAGGTATTGTTCATAAAAAACTTTCCTTTAGATAGTTCTTTTTTTTGGGAGTGGGGGTGTACTGGGGATTGATCTCAGGGGCACTCAACCAGTGAAACACAACACCAGCTCTATTTTTTATTTTATTTTATTTAGAGACAGGGTCTCACTGAGTTGCTTAGCGCCTCGCTGTTGCTACAGCTGGCTCTGAACTCATGACCCTCTTGTCTCAGCCTCCCAAGTATTTCAGATAGTTCTTATTAAACAACTCATCTCATGGAACTTCCTTGAAAGAAAATTCACTGAGAAGCATACCAACTGATTTATTCTACAAATGCAAAGGCAAGATTGCGTCCAGTATAAAATATGAAAGGCTGGTCCTAATTTTTGGTAATGCCAAAGTATTTCTGGCAGGATCTTAAAACCATAAGGTCAATACTAAATTTTGAGTGTTTAGAGGTAAAGAGCTATAGATTTTACATTTTTTTAAGATGCTACAAACCTTATTACAGTTCTTTTGAAATTCTAGGGACTCACTATTAATTAGATTTAGCCAAATAACCAAAATCTAGGTAACATAATTCCACATTGCTGCTATAAGCTCAGACTGGCCACTTCTCTTAGAACTGACGTCACAATCAACACTATTATATTTTGTGAACTGCAGGAACTAAGGCATACTTCTCTTTGGTGTTCATCTTATGATATAACTATGAGTTGAGAAAATTACTTAAATTATTTTACTCTTTATTTCCCAGTTTCTCTCCTCTACAGTCAAATCACAGAAGTGATAATGAACTGCATGTTCTTTAGAAGACAGAAGCTGGATGAATATTTTAAGTTAACATCTTTCCTTCTAGGATAAGAAACTTCACAGAGATATTTTTAAAAGATGAAAAACAACTGAGATTACAAAGCATATTGGATACCAAAGGTACTCAATAAGAAAAATAAGGATACACTGAGGTCATGGATAAAGAACATGCTTTAGAAAGCAACTCAGCAAGTAAATATAGAAAGAGGCCAAATTTTCTTGGAGCTATAATATGGATATACAATTTTGGAATTTCTGTGTTGGCTCTGGAATAATACATGCAAAATAATCCATGAAAAAAGTTCTAGAAGAAACCCCACAGAATCCTTCTATTATTCAATATAACAGCCAGCATTAAATGACATGGAAAAGCAGTCACTGCCTTTGAAAATATTAAAGGAGTCCTATTTCAAAACAATATCCTTCTTTCATTTATTTTCAATGAATTCTTTCACATCCCATGCAAAATTAATTAAATTTGTTGGCATGTAGTATTATGAATAAACTTTTTAAAGTGTCATAAATAGTATTATTGAAAAACACAATGAATAGAAGTATTCTTTAAAGGCTTCAGAGAATGACTATGAAAATTTTAACAGTGGTTTACTAAGTACTGCAAATTTTCAATGGTCCTTAACAGAATAGCTCTTTAATGTTATCTATGCTACTTTTATTAACTATCTCTTGTGTTTTCAGCATGAAAACTCTTCAAAATCAGCAGCTTTAATACCTTATTTTCAAATGAATATATCCCTAATCTATTTGGTGTGCAACAAGGAAAGAAAACACCCACATTAAAAGATGTACTAAGCCTCATAGACTTCAATGAATCAAATATATCAAATGTGATGATACAGAAATGTTTTTCTGATGGAAGTCACATTTACAAATTTCGTGCCTGAAAAAAATCTTAAAATAACTCTGAAATTAATACCAAATATCCAAAATTTTAGTGCAGCAAAGAAAACTCACCATTTCCTATTCCATGTGTTGATCATTTGCTTGCCACCTAACAAACTATCTTGTGATTACTTCATCTGACAAAGCATGGAATTAGATGTTACTTTGATTATTAGTAGAGTGTTAAGAACTTGATCTTGTTGAATGCGGATTTGGAGAATAGGGTCTTTCTAAAGAGTATTTCAGTCCCAAAATAAAAGTAACAAATCACAACCAAGAGAGTGATGGTTTCCAAACATTTTCACATTGTGCCTAAGATAAAATTACATTTGCACAGCACTGTGTTGAACAGAGTCTCACTGCCTGAAATAAGTAACCTGGGATCTCTGAGCACTCTGGATGCTTCTCTAGGGCTGAATATCTTAGTTCATCTATAATCCATATAGATAAGCCTAATTCAGAACCAATTTCTAGCATTCACATTACTGGGTGGGTATACATTTAAAAAAAGTTTTTTGCTAAGATTAATCATAGATCTAGAAAAATGCTACCAAAGACTATTGTGTTTAAGACATTTACTGAGACTTTTGAGTGTCACTGGCACACAGAAGAGCCAGAATAAAGAACAACTCATTGATGTAACAAGGGCAGAGGTCCTCTAATTTTCTATAGGCTTGTTCCCATGAAAGCGGTAAAACATTAATGACAGCTACTGTCTATGGAAGATGGCACTTCTGCCTTCTCCTAGGACCTGATTTACTTTCTTCTGTGTCTTCTTTCCTAATCTCAGGAGAGCAGTGTGTGGCTATTTAATTTCTACCCAATGTTAAGCTCTGCACCACTGCCCACGCAGCTGTCAAATGGCTGTGAATCTTAGAGTAAATGGATGTCCACAAAATAAAACTGTTTAATGTTGAAGGAGGTTCTACAATATTGTACTACCAGCCGTGTTAAGGATTTTAACATTTCCATCAATTTTGATGTCATCTCAAATACACTTTGAAAGCTTATTCTTGCTTTAATACTATATTTGTCAAATTCTCTTATTTATCCATATATATAAGAATTATATCTCATATATATATATGAGAATTACCCAATGTAAGAGTCAGAATGGATGATAGAAAACATGAATTGTCAAGCTTAGCTCCCATTGGAATAATCTGGGAAGCTTTGTAGAGTGCCTTTGAAGTTTCCTTATC